TTTGTCTGTGGTTTTAAATTAAACGACATAAAATAAAATTTCTGTAACTTACATTTGAAAGCTGTGTTTCAAACTGTGACATGATTTCAAGCTGTGTAAAGTGTCATTAAACAGGTGAGAAAGAGATAAGGTATTTAGAAACCATTATAGGACTGATCCACAGGAAATAAAATGCTGCTGTCAGTAGTATGTGCGTGACATCACTCAGCAAGAAAAGCAAAACTGTAAACTGCCACAAGAGGGAGATTATCACACTTTCCCTGAAACATAAAAAATGTGGCTGTTATGAACCTGAAAGAGAAAGAAAGCATGAATATAGACTACCCACAAATACCAGACTCTGATAGAGGAACAGTTTAATCAAGCCTTGGTAGAAAAAAAAAAATTCTAACTTTGGAAGCCTTGTATTTTTACCTTTAACACATAGAAAAATTGATTTATAAATTAACTATATGTGTGTGAGAGTTACTTACAGAATCATTGACTGTAAGATTTTGCCTGTCAGCTTTGCAAAGGCAAAATGTTTTTTTTTTTTTTTTTTTATTACCGGTACAAATGAATAAGGCTGGCTTGCAAACAGAGGGTCACTGGTTCGAAACCCAGCTCCATCTATTACATTTGTTGTGCCCTTGGGCAGACTCTGCTCTTGCATTGCCTACTGATGGTGGTCAGAGAGCCAGGTACCGCTTGTGTACAGAAGGCTCACTTGTTGCCCCATTGCAGCTGTGGCTGCTATATAGCTTACCAACATCAATGTATGAATCCAAATGTAAACGAGTTAATGACTGAATAAAGTGTGAAGCTCTTTGGAGTTCCCTGATTTAATAAGCCTCTGTATACGTACAGGTCGTTGTACAATCCAGATGTTGCTCTTAATGCTGAACACAAGACGCCTAAGAACTTGATTATATATATGTTATGTGGGTACGAGAACTCTGTAGCTTTAAAATGTCCTTTTTTCATGGTTCAATATGACCAACATCTGGTAAAGTATATGACAGAACATGACAAAGTTCAGCTTAGGCAACTGACCTCTTGGATGAGAGGTGAAACATATTCTAAAAAACTTCAAGTCCTCTTGCCTAAACTGAACTTTTTCAAGCTTGACCGTGACCTGGATGACTGAGAATCTTCACAGATAAACGACATAAAACACACACACACATATTTATTTAAAAAGAGAAATACAACATTTATTTATTAGCATTTATTTTTTCATTGATACAATTACATGTGTATTTATTTATTCAAATTTGTATTTATTTTCATAACTATTTTTTTGTTTTATCATTTTCTGTCCCTCATAGAGCAAATGCATGATACAAAAGAAAAAAGACTTTGTTACTCTGCAGCTTGCCAGGTTATAAGCCACTCTTTGTTAATAGTGGAATAGACCGTTTTCCTTAAAAAGCTTTCTTAATTCATCAAGGCATACATTTGACGAAATGCCGTACACAGGACATTTTGATTTACACTGACATCATAAGCAAATCTTCTATAGCCTGATAAAATAATATAAGGTTTTGTTCTTCTGTCAGGAACAACGTGTCATTATTACCTTGCAAAGCTAGTCGTATTCTCCTCACCCACCAACTCCATCTGCCACATCTGTTCCTCCTCATTCACCTACTGCTTAAGATCATTCTAGTCTCTCCAGCCCTCCTGTAGAGCAAGCTAATTTCAGCCACTTTCATCCAGGATTTCCTTCTTTTGGTCATAGTCCAAATTTCGTGACCACAGCAGAGAGCAGGAACATAGATCGACCGGAGAATGGAGAGCTTTGCCTTTTCCTCTGCTCCCTCTTCAGCTTCCACATTATAATGGCAGCCTCACAGAATCCTCTATCTATCCTGCTCCATTCAGTTTATGCCGAGATGTTCAAACTCCACAACTCTCTTCCAACCTGAAGGAGACAAACCACCTTTTTTTCCATTGAGAACAGGGTCCTAATACTTGGAAAAGTTGATTCTCATCCCAGGAGCTTTGTACTCTGCCTCAAATCACCACAGTGCATAATGTAAGTCTTGGCAGAAGGAAGACAGCAGAACCACATCCTCTGCGAAAAGCAGGAATGAAGACCACTGGTCCTCAAAACAGATCCCCTCCAGGCCTTGTCTGTCCCTAGAAAACCTGTCCTTAAACATAATGAGCAGGACCAGTAACAGAGGGCAGCCTTTCTGGAGATACTGGGAACAGCTCTGAGTTAATGCTGGCAATGAGGACCAAAATCTTGCTTTACATAGACCGGTTCCTTCCTATTAAAGGACCCCGACTCTAGGCTTCTTCTGTGCAGAAAAAATATTATTGACATGCATTTTATTTGTGTTTGAAAAAGAAAAAAACACTGATAATTTAGATATTTTTTCCCCTCAGAAGGAATACAGTCAAAATATTTATCAGTAAGATTATGATGCATCCATAAAAGATACACTATATTGCCAAAAGTATTTGCTCACCTGCCTTGACTCACATATGAGCTTAAGTGACATCCCGTTCCTAATCCATAGGGTTCAATATGACGTCGGTCCACCCTTTGCAGCTAGAACAGCTTCAACTCTTCTGGGAAGGCTGTCCACAAGGTTTAGGAGTGTGTTTATGGGAATTTTTGACCATTCTTCCAGAAGCGCATTTGTGAGGTCGCACACTGATGTTGGACGAGAAGGCCTGGCTCTCAGTCTCCGCTCTAATTCATCCCAAAGGTGTTCTATCGGGTTGAGGTCAGGACTCTGTGCAGGCCAGTCAAGTTCATCCACACCAGACTCTGTCATCCATGTCTTTATGGACCTTGCTTTGTGCACTGGTGCACAGTCATGTTGGAAGAGGAAGGGGCCAGCTCCAAACTGTTCCCACAAAGTTGGGAGCATGGAATTGTCCAAAATGTCTTGGTATGCTGAAGCATTCAGAGTTCCTTTCACTGGAACTAAGGGGCCAAGCCCAGCTCCTGAAAAACAACCCCACACCATAATCCCCCCTCCACCAAACTTTACACTTGGCACAATGCAGTCAGACAAGTACCGTTCTCCTGGCAACCGCCAAACCCAGACCCGTCCATCAGATTGCCAGATGGAGAAGCGCGATTCGTCACTCCAGAGAACGCGTCTCCACTGCTCTAGAGTCCAGTGGCGGCGTGCTTTACACCACCGCATCCGACGCTTTGCATTGCACTTGGTGATGTATGGCTTGGATGCAGCTGCTCGACCATGGAAACCCATTCCATGAAGCTCTCTGCGCACTGTTCTTGAAATAATCTGAAGGCCACATGAAGTTTGGAGGTCTGTAGTGATTGACTCTGCAGAAAGTTGGCGACCTCTTCGCACTATGCGCGTCAGCATCCGCTGACCCCGCTCCGTCAGTTTACGTGGCCTACCACTTCGTGGCTGAGTTGCTGTCGTTCCCAAACACTTCCATTTTCTTATAATACAGCTGACAGTTGACTGTGGAATATTTAGGAGCGAGGAAATTTCACGACTGGATTTGTTGCACAGGTGGCATCCTATCACAGTTCCACGCTGGAATTCACTGAGCTCCTGAGAGCGACCCATTCTTTCACAAATGTTTGTAAAAACAGTCTGCATGCCTAGGTGCTTGAATTTATACACCTGTGGCCATGGAAGTGATTGGAACACCTGATTCCAATAATTTGGATGGGTGAGCAAATACTTTTGGCAATATAGTGTATGTGTATCTAACTTACATTTTTTTGTTTATTAATGAGTCTACCAACAAGTGTCAGTTTAATCATTATTATGTCAGTCGATCATAAAAAAAAAGACTATTTCAGAAAAATAATGTCGATAAAATTTGAGGAATTAGATTTATTTTTAAGGCAAATTTTTTTTTTTTTCCACACAAAATGAGATTATTCACAACAAACTGAAATCACTGCTGTGTACTCATGGATATTTTAATGTAAACTTTATCTGTATTTATTTTATCATTTGAGGGTCAGAGTTTAAAAACAACCAATGTCATTACAAAAAAAACAAAAAAAACTTAAACCACTGATGTAGTACAATAGAGTTAATTTTCCAGGTTTTACATGGAGCTGCAGATATCAGCTGCTTTCACTGAGCTTGCTTGTAAGTGTTGTGTTTTTCCACAAGGGAGTAGCATATTACCATTTATACTTCTCCAAGAGCTAAAAGGAAGAATTCTTACTCAAGTTCAAGAGAAAGCTGAGAGTCTCTTCAGACCTCCTTAGATTTTTTCTCATCCTCACTTTGCTGTAACTGGCTGCTTATTTCAGCACCACCATGAAAAAAAAATAATCTTCTCACAAAATCTCCCCGTGAATCACTTTACGTACCCTCATGTTTCCTTATACTTAGCTTTTATTACCTCTTTCACATTTTTAAAACTATTTAGGGTGCTGGATTATTTTCCTGCTTTACGGATCAGAGCTCAAAGATATATATACACACACACACACACACATATATGAAATATATATATATATATATATATATATATATATATATATATATATATATATATATATATATATGTATATTTTTTTTTTTTTTTTTTTTTTTTTTTTTTTTTTTTTTTTTTTTTTTTACTGCTGAGTCACCATGTTCATGTCTAACATTAATCTCCATATATTTTGTCATTACTGCAAGTATCTACACAGGAAATGGATGCCAAACTCCTTGTTTAACAAAGAGTACTTCTTTTGGTTTGTTGTATTACATGACTTAATTATTACAATTGGCTTACAGTAACATAAATGACCAAATGCAAAAATGTCAACAACACAAAAATTCAACACCATTTATATGATAGAAAATCATTCAGATGTTGTCAAATTTTTCGATTAGATAGTTGATTGATATGTAGCTCAGAAGCTGTTTCAGTTGTGATTCATCCATTTTCTTACACGCTGAATCCCAAGTGGGGTCGCGAGCGGTGCTGGTGCTTCAGTTGTCTACGGGGTACACCCTGGACAGGTAGCCACTCCATCGCAGGGCAACATAGAGACAAAAAAAGATTCACACACACTCACACCTAAGGATAATCTAGAGGAGCCAATTGACCTAACAGTCATGTATTAGTACTGTATGAGGAAGCCGGAGTACCCGGAGAGAACCCACGCATGCTCAGGGAGAACATTCGAACTCCATGCAGAAGGACCCCGGGCTTGGAACTGAACCCTTCTTGCTGCAAGGCAAGAGCACTGAGCAGCCCCAGTTGTGAATTATATAAGTAATCCAATCAATGCTATCAGGTATCTTTGTGTACCTATACAGTATGGAACCCTCAGTCTTGTGTATTGCAGACACCACTCCATATGCCTTTCCATCCTCGCAGACTAATGGACCTCCGGCATCTCCCTTTTATCAAAGACACAGAATATTGAGACTGTGTTGGGAAAACATTTAAGTACATTTTTTTCTCTGCAAAGAAAAAAATATCTACCTGCATTGGTCCGATTCCTCCTTTAGAACAGTATACATTTTCTTTGACACACAGTTCATTATCAACGAGTGTGACACTGGCCTCCATCAGTGTATCGGACAAGAGAGAGTTCTCAGAAGTTTTCCCCCAACCACTGACTGTGCAGGAATTTGGCAGAGAGCTATCTTCCTTGTCCGCCAGAGCAATAGGTTGTACATTTTTGGTAATCTCTGCCTTTTCGGACAACTAGACGAAAGATTGGAGATGGTATTGAACAGAAAAAAGTACTATATACTTTCATACATTTATTGCATGTTAAAATATAATGAGTAATGCTAATGACAGATAAGAAAAAAAAAACACAACCATGCTATTTAGTATAATGATTATAATAGATAGAGTAATTAGATCATTTTACCTTCAGCAGCATTATGTCGTTTAAATAATACTGTTCATTGTAGTTCTCATGTAGAAAAGCTCTCTTCACAGACCCTTTTTCATAGTTCCCTGTGTATTTGTGTAACCCAAGGAAAACTTTATGGGACCTAAAAAAAGAAAATCATTAATGTTTGTTCTTTTCTTCATATGTCTGCAGTCATGGAGCAGGCTTCATCCAACCAAAACTAAATAATCATGTCAAACTGACTTGGCCTGGCAGTTGGCTGCGGTCATCACAAAATCATCACGGATAAGGAATCCCCCACAGTATTTTATATCATTATTCTCCATTATCCTCTCAACAAGCACCATATACGGCCTGCTGTGTGGTTTGGCCTCATAACCAACTATGGCTTTGACCACATAAGCTGCAACATTATGGGGGTAAAACACAAAGTTAATGTCATGACAAGTAGTTATTTGTTAACATATCAAAATAACAAATGTTTATCTTTTTTCCTAAAACAGATCAATATTATTACAAAAATCACAAAGACTAATCATGTACAATAAAAATTTGGTCCATTTTAAATGTATATACTATAATAGAAACTCACCTTCTCTTTGTAAAGTCATTGCAAGCATCAGTAAAGCCAGTGAACAGTGGTTGAACATGATGAGATCACAATCCAGTCAAGCTGCTGAGGAGTAACAACATCTCTGAAAACATCCTTTTTATACGCTGGCAGGCTGCATAGGCTGATGATGCAGATTTGGACTGTAACCTTTGGCAAACCACACATTTTACTTTTTTTTAATACTGCACAGACAGAAAACCCTGAATCGTGGAGTGCTTCAGTTGTAATAGTGAAAAGCGTTTGAGTCAAACAACTTTAAATTTTGGGTTACTTCTAATAAAATGTTTCATCACACATAATGTCTCTGAAGTATGTATTTAAAGTACACATCTAGGATAATGATAGTTTTTATATTTTGCAAGAAGGTCTCCCAAAAGACAAACAATCAAAACATGTTCATATGTGTCCTGTTTTGGTTTGTTAAGGACAATATGACATAGAAGCATGGAAATAGACTATTAGGAATTGAAAATGGAGCTGTTTAGTGGCTAATAACCATTCAGCTACAGAGGCAAGAGCATAGAAATGAAAAACAAATACGAAGAGCAATCATTTTGGATGTGCAGCAACAGAGAAACGGGAGAGCTGAGGGAAAATGACTGACCACTACAAAATACACTATGATCCAAGAAAATTAAATAAAGATTTCCTGCGAAATCATAAATGAACATAGAAAGACCCACTGTAGATAAAGATAGCAAATAATAGAGGAGCGGTTTATCTACAGCAGAGTTGGGTTGTTAGATGAGCTTAGAGAAGTCAGCAGTGTACTAGTATAGCTTCTAAACACAGTGCAGGTGATGAGAGACAAGAATTCTAGAAAGTTCTATCAGATTTGGACAATGTCTCACACCTATGCATGAAACAGTTTAAAACTGAAGTGACAGACTACTGCATCCTTTATGCACAATGGACTGTTATAGCAGATGGTTCCTCTAAGCAGCTGTTGGACCCACCAAACTCAGACGTATTCATATCTGTGCTGTTTTAATATTTAATATTTTCTGCAATCTTGTAAATGCTTAGTTGGTTTTATAAATACATATTGATTTTCAAATCCACATACTTATTTGCTTTTTTAAAATGACTGTGCTAATTTTGAACACTGTAAAGGATGTTATCTTTTGTTATAATTTTCTCCTTTTTTGTACAGGCTGTTATCATAATTTCTTATTTATTGAAATATTTATCTATATCTGCATGGTGCTTAGCTGTCCCTTTGCTGTTTGCACACCAGCTTCCCCCAGTGTGATGTATCAATTTTAGTTAAAGCTAAAAAAAGAGCCAAAGTTGAGTTTAAAGAAAAACGTCATGGTTTTTAAGCACAGCAATGACCTTAAAAAAATAAGCTGGAAAACAACTCTTGTCAAACTATAAAGTGTATGTAATATATCACAATTTTTTGATATGTGGCTGGGAGACAATTGGATCATAAAGTTGGGAAAGACAGATGAAGACAAATAAGTCCTTATTCAACTAAACAGAAAGGACTACATTTAAGTTATTTTTGTTAGAGAATAACTCTGAAAACAAGAATAAAGAAAACAGAGATAAAGCTGTGGAAGCCATCAAAATTAGATGTCAGATTTTTTTTATTTTGTTTGCAGCAATAGTTTTCCCAGGTAATATCTGGAAACGTTCATCCAGATGTTTTCTTTCACAGCAGACATATTTATCTGAACCTACTTTTAACGGTTGTCGTGCAGCGAAAGAGCGAGATGGTAGAGATATCAGCCACAAAGAAACTGCCAGCCCAAAGTTTTTGATAAGAACATCAACTACCCAGTTTTCAATCAATAAAATCTTGCCACAGCACCAGTAAAGATTAGCAAAACAGCTTGGTGACGGTGGTTTTGCAATGTACTATAAGATATGACACCAACTGTTGAATTTTTAACAGTGCGTTTTATTAGGGATCATCCTAGAAAGAGGACAAAAAGTTCAACTAACAGTTTTAAACATCACTAAAAGCGGGGTATTGGTGTGGTAATAAAACTCTTTCAGCCTCTTTATATAAGGTTTTCTGCAAGTATCACTATGATAAAGAGACACAAAGTGCATGCACGGTTTGTGGTACAGAGATCCACCAACATATCTGACAAAACCAAAAAAAAAAAACAGGAAGGCATGTTTCTGAGAAATATCAGAATGGTTACTATCTTTAGTGCTCCTTCTATAGGCAACTTCTGCATGTGAGCTTGTGGATAAAAAGGCAAAAAGAATGAACAACTACTCAATCACTTATTTTTTTTCCTAAAGAGCCAGTCTTGCTATAGGGGTTACAATAGAGAGTAGTAGTATAGCTGCTGGGATAGAAATTATAGATGTTTTTTCAGTTCTAAAAAGCTGCAATAAAACATCCATCCATCTTCTACCACCTGTCCATCAGGCCCACAGGGGATGGGGTTTAGTTCCATGATTTCATACATGATTGTCAATTTATTCACCTCCACTGCTGCACCTGCCTTATCCTATTGGTGCATCTGTGGATGTGCCTGTAGACACATCAGTCAAATTAGAAAAAGTGGAGCCTTTTAACAATAGCTATTGTACAGATCCTAATTCTAACTTCATCTAGCAAAGATGCAGAGCAGATTCCTAACAGCAACAGCTATTTCTGTTTGCTCCAAAGTTATTATGATGACAGCCTGCAAAGGCTGCACAGAGAGCATATTGCAGGTTTTGCCACAGAAGTACCGGGGGAGAACCCATGCATGCACAGGAAGAACATACAGATCCTTCTCAAAATATTAGCACGTTGTTATAAAGTTCATTATTTTCCATAATGTAATGATAAAACTGGAACATTCATATATTTTTAGATTAATTGCACACTAACTGAAATATTTCAAGTCTTTTTTTGTCTTAATACGGAAGATTTTGGCATACAGCTCATGAAAACCCAAAACTCCTATCTTATAAAATTAGCATATCATGAAAAAAGCCTCTGAACGAGCTATGCATCTAATCATCTGAATCAACAAATTAACTCTAAATACCTGCTCCTGAGGCCTTTAAAATTACCAGCCAGAAGAAACATCCAGAGCCACCGTGCAAAGGCAAGTGCAGGAAATGGGCTACAGGTGCCACATTCCCCAGGTCAAGCCACTTTTGAACCACAAACAGAGGCGCCTGACCTGGGCTACAGAGAAGCAGCACTGGACTGTTGCTCAGTTTTGCGTGTAATTTGGAAATCAAGGTGCCAGAGTCTGGAGGAAGACTGGGGAGAAGGAAATGCCAAAATGCCAGAAATCCAGTGTCAAGTACCTACAGTCAGTGATGGTCTGGGGTGCTATCCGTATCAACCATATGTCCACCGTCACTTTACCTGTTATTATTGCATATCTATTGTATACTTCACACATATCTATTTAACTCTGCAATAATTTAATACAAATAATCAATCATTTGCACAGAACTTTACTGTTGTCACTTTATACCAGTGTTGCCTTGTCTGTATATACTTAATGTATATTTTTTATATATTTTTAAATATTTTTTTATACTTTGTATTCTTCTTTTTTCCTACTGTACTGTTCACTGTGATGCAACGCTGCAATTTGTGGGACAAATAAAGGATTATCTTATCTTATCTTATCTTATACTAGCTGCTAGTGTTGGTCCACTGTGTTTTATCAAGGGTAGGGTCAATGCAGCTAGCTATCAGGAGATTTTAGAGCACTTCATGCTTCCATCTGCTGAAAACCTTTATGGAGATGAAGATTTCATTTTTCAGCACGACCTGGCACCTGCTCACAGTGCCAAAACCACTGGTAAATGGTTTACTGACCACGGTACTCAATTGTGCTCCATTGGCCTGCCAACTCTCCTGACCTGTAACTTTTACTCTGGTTTCTCTGAGTGGTTTCCTGCATGTGGCTCAGATCCCTTAAAAACATCATGACACCCCCAGACACATCTTTATTTAAAAATACAAAAGTCATTTATTAGCAATTCATTATTCATTTATCTGTTCATGCACGTATACGTTTATAAATGTATTTTTCTATTTTTATATACACTCACCGGCCACTTTATTAGGTACACCTGTCCAACTGCTCGTTAACACTTAATTTCTAAGCAGCCAATCACATGGCGGCAACTCAGTGCATTTAGGCATGTAGACGTGGTCAAGACAATCTCCTGCAGTTCAAACCGAGCATCAGTATGGGGAAGAAAGGTGATTTGAGTGACTTTGAACGTGGCATGATTGTTGGTGCCAGAAGGTCTGGTCTGAGTATTTCAGAAACTGCTGATCTACTGGGATTTTCACGCACAACCATCTCTAGGGTTTACAGAGAATGGTCCGAAAAAGAAAAAACATCTAGTGAGCGGCAGTTCTGTGGGCGGAAATGCCTTGTTGGTCAATAGAAGATTGGAAAAACGTTGCCTGGTCTGATGAGTCTCGATTTCTGCTGCGACATTCGGATGGTAGGGTCAGAATTTGGCGTCTACAACATGAAAGCATGGATCCATCCTGCCTTGTATCAACGGTTCAGGCTGGTGGTGGTGGTGTCATGGTGTGGGGAATATTTTCTTGGCACTCTTTGGGCCCCTTGGTACCAATTGAGCATCGTTGCAACGCCACAGCCTACCTGAGTATTGTTGCTGACCATGTCCATTCCTTTATGACCACAATGTACCCAACTTCTGATGGCTACTTTCAGCAGGATAATGCGCCATGTCATAAAGCTGGAATCATCTCAGACTGGTTTCTTGAACATGACAATGAGTTCACTGTACTCAAATGGCCTCCACAGTCACCAGATCTCAATCCAACAGAGCATCTTTGGGATGTGGTGGAACGGGAGATTCGCATCATGGATGTGCAGCCGACAAATCTGCGGCAACTGTATGATGCCATCATGTCAATATGGACCAAACTCCCTGAGGAATGCTTCCAGCACCTTGTTGAATCTATGCCACGAAGAATTGAGGCAGTTCTGAAGGCAAAAGGGGGTCCAACCCGTTACTAGCATGGGGTACCTAATAAAGTGGCCGGTGAGTGTATATTTTTTATTAATACAATTATATGTGTATTTATTCATTTATATTTGTATTTATTTATTTATTTTCATATCTATTTTTTTTATATAATTTTCCGGCCCTCATAAAGCAAATGCATTATACAAGAGAAAAAAAGACTTTGTTACTCTGCAGCTTCCTAGGTTATAAACCACTCTTTGTTAATACTGTATTCAATAAAAAGCTTTCTTAATTCATCAAGGCATAGATTTTACGAAATGCTGTGTACATGACATTCTGCGTTATACTGACATCATAAGCAAATCTTCCATAGACTGATAACTTAATATAAGGCTTTGTTCTTCTGTCAGGAACAACGGTTCATTATTACCTTGCAGAGCTAGTCGTATTCTCCTCACCCACCAACTCCACCTGCCACATCTGTTCCTCCTCATTCACCTACAGCTTGAGATTATTCCAAAACTTGTCTCAATGAAAGTTTGTTTAACTTAACTTGGTGAACAGGGGCTCTACTCTCTGTCTCTCCAGCCCTACTGTGGAGAAAGCTAATTTCAGCCACTTTCATTCAGGATTTCCTTCTTTTGGTCATAGTCCAAATTTCGTGACCACAGCAGAGAGCTAGAACATAGATCGACCGGAGAATGGAGAGCTTTGCCTTTTCCTCTGCTCCCAGACTCACCGAATCCCCTTTCTATCCTGCTCCATTCAGTTTATGCCGAGATGTTCAAACTCCACAACTCTCTTCCAAACTGAAGAAGACAAACCACCTTTTTCCCATTGAGAACAGGGTCCCAATACTCGGAAAAGCTGATTCTCATCCTGGGAGCCTTGTACTCTGCCTCAAATCACCACAGTGCATGCTGTAAGTCTTGGCAGAAGGAAGACAGCAGAACCGCATCCTCTACAGAAAGCAGGAATGAAGACCACTGGTCCCCAAAACAGACCCCCTCCAGGCCTTGTCTGTCCCTAGAAAATCTGTCCTTAAACATAATGAGCAGGACCAGTAACAGAGGGCAGCCTTGCTGGAGATACTGGGAACAGCTCTGAGTTAATGCTGGCAATGAGGACCAAAATCTTGCTTTGCTTACACACAGACCGGTTCCTTCCTAATAAAGGGCCCCGACTCTAAGCTTCTGCTGTGCAGAAAAACTATTATTGACATTTTATTTGTGTTTGGAAAAAAAAATCTGATAATTTAGATATTTTTCCCCTCAGAAGGAATACAGTCAAATTTATCAGTAAGATTATGATGCATCCATAAAAAATATGCAGAGCTAAGTTAAATTTTTGTGTTTATAAATAGGTCTACCAACAAGTCTGAGTTCATTAGTCGATCATAAAAAAAGACTATCGCAGAAAAAATGTGTTGATAAAATTTGAGGAATTAGATTTATTTTTAAGACAAATTTATATTTTTTTTTTCACAAAAGATGAGATTATTCACAACAAACTGAAAACACTGCTGTGTACTCATGTATATTTTAATGTAAACTTTATCTGTATTCATTTAACATTTGAGGGTCAGAGTTTAAAAACAACCAATATCATTACAAAAAAAAAAAAATAATAATAATAATTAAGTTACTGATGTAGTAGAATACGGTTAATTTTCCAGTTTTTACTTGGAGCTGCAGATATCAGCTGCTTTCACTGAGCTTGCTTGTAAGTATTGTGTTTTTCCACAAGGGAGTAGCAGATAAAAATTTATTCTTCTCCAAGAGCTGAAAGGAAGACTTCTTGCTCAAGTGCAAGAGAAAACTGAAAGTCTTTTCAGACCTTAGATTTTCTCTCATCCTCACTTTGCTGTAACTGGCTGCTTATTTCAGCACCACCATGAAGAGAGAATTAATCTTTTCACAAAGTCTCCCCGCAAATCAATAAACCAGAAATGTTTTTTTGCACATTAACTTTGTTTTTTGAGAGGGAGATAGGACTCTACGTACACTCATGTTTCCATATACTTAGCTTTTATTACCTCTTACATATTTTTAAAGTTATTAAGGGTGCTGGATTATTAGTTTTGCTGCTATTCATGTACACAGGAAAATGGATGCCAAACACCTTTTTGAAGAAAGAGTACTTCTTTTAGTTTTTGGTATTATATGACTTAATCATGAGAGGGCTTACAGTGACAAAAATGACCAAATGCAAAAATAAAAGAAAAACATTTCAACAGCATTTATATGATAGAAAATTATTCAGATATTATCAAATATAAATCAACTATCATGTCAATCAACTCTCTAATCAAATATTGTTTGATTAGATAGTTGAACTAATTAAGTTGTACTTATTGTCACAAGGCTCAGAAATGAAGGACTCAAATGCAAGACCTGACACAGTGGATTAAAACTCAAAGTTCTTTTAATTCAGTCCAGGGTTGAACAACAAAAAATCCAGCAGAAACAGAAGTATCAAAAAGCAGAGGCAAGGCAGGTCCAAATCCAAGCAGGGGTCAAAACACAAGAAAGCTAAATCTAACAGGCAAAAAAGCTGGAACGCTAAGCTCAAAAGACTAAGATGAACTGGCAAAGGGAAGCTGCAAGGGTGGGAACTAAATACTCTAACAAACAAAAGAGGAGCACATACACCAGGTGAATTGCATTAGGCTGTGGCAGATCCTGATTGCAGGAAGGAACTCAGGAAGTGAAGCTGCCTAAAACGAGAGAGGAAATGAGTAACAAAATAAAACAGGAAGTGAAAAGACAAGGTAATAAAAGTGACATCAATCTAATCAGGACTGCCCCTGACACTTATACAGTGTGGAACCCTCAGTTTCTTGGTTTGCAGCCACCACTCCATATGCCTTTCCATCCTCACAGACTAATGGATCTCCAGAATCTCCCTATAATCAAAGACACAGAATATTGAGACTGTGTTGGAAAAACATTTAAGTGAATTTTTTTTCTCTACAAAAAAAAAATATATACCTCCGTTGGTCCGATTTCTCCTTTAGAACAGCATACATTTTCTTTGACACACAGCTCATTATCAACGAGGTTGACACTGGCCTTGTTCGCCAAAGCAATAAGTTGTACATTTTTGGTAATCTCTGCCTTTTTGGACAACTAGATGAAAGAGATTGGAGATGGTATTGAACAGAAAAAAGTATTATATACTTTCATACATTTATTGCATGTTAAAACATAATGAGTAATGCTAATGAAAGATATGAAAAAAACCCAACCATGCTATTTGGTATAATGATTATAATAGATAAAGTTATTAGATAATTTTACCTTCAGCAGCATTATGTCACTTGTATAATCACTTTCATTGTAGTTGTCATGTAGAAAAGCTTCCTTCACAGACAGTTTTTATGTTCCTTTGAGTATTTGTGTAACCCAAGAAAAACTTTATGGGACCTAAAAAAATAAAGTGTTTAATGTTTTTCTTTCTTTGTCTGTTTGCTGCCATGGTGCAGGCTTCATCCAACTGAACTACATAATCATGTCATACTGACTTGGCCTGGAACTCGGCTGCGGTCATCATAAAAAATCATAACGGATAAGGAATCCCCCACAGTGTTTTTTTTTTTTTTTTTTTTCGTTATTCTCCTTCATCAGCTCAACAAGCACCATATACGGCCAGCTGTTGTTGGGATCTGGAGGTCTGTCCACTTTCTCCACCAGAGGGCGTACTAGATCTCCTGGAGCCAGAGCTGATTGCTACCACCTGTCGCTCATCTGCTCATCAGGAGATCTGTATTTAAGGAGGCAGAGGACTTCTCTCCAGTGCCAGAGTGTTTACCAGATCATTATTATTACAAAAATCACAAAGACTAAAAAGTACAGTAAAACTTTGATCCATTTTAACTTTACATTCTATAATAGAAACTCACCTTGACTTTGTAAAGTCATTGCAAGCATCAGTAAAGCCAGTGAACAGTGGATGAACATGATGAGATCACAATCCAGTCAAGCTGCTGAGGAGTGACAACATCTCTGAAAACATCCCTTTTTATACGCTGGCAGGCTGCATAGGCTGATGATGCAGATTTGGACTGTAACCTTTGGCAAACCGCACATTTTCCTTTTTCTTTTTATATACTGCACAGACAGAAAACCCTGAATCGTGGAGTACTTCAGTTTTAACAGTGAAAAGTGTTTGATTAACAGCTTTACATTTTGGGTTATAAAATGTTTCATCTCACATAATGTTTTGTGTTATAATGTATTATCATTTTGAAAACTGTAAAGTATGTAGTCTTTTGTTATAAATTTCACCTTTTTTACAGGGTGTTGTCATCATGTCTTGTTCATCAAGCTATATTTATCGATATCTGCATGGTGCTTAGCTGTCCCTTTGCTGTTTGCACACCAGCTTCCCCCAGTGTGAGACAGTAAAGGATATTTTTATTTTACTTTTAAAGTAACAATTTAAGTAAAAACTAAAAAAGAATCAAGGTTGAGTTTAATGAAAAACGTCATGGTTTTTAAACACAGAAATGACCCTAAAAAATAAGCTGGAAATGAACTCCTGTCAAACTGTAAAGTATATGTAAGATGCTACAATTTCTTGATTGGTGGCTGGGAGACAATTGAATCATAAAGTTGGGAAAGACAGATGAAGACAAATAAATCCTTAATTAACTAAACAGAAAGGACTACATTTAATAGTTATTTTTGTAAGAGAATAACTGAAAACAAGATTAAAGAGAACATAGATAAAACTGTGGAAGCCATCAAAATTAGATAAATGTCTGCTTTTTTTATTTTTGTTTGCAGCAATTATTTTCCCAGGTAATATCTGGAAATGTTTATCAAGATGTTCATCAAATTTATCTGAACCCACTTTTAACGGTTGTCGTGCAGCGAGAGAGCGAGATGGAAGAGATATCTGCCTCAAAGAAACTACTGGCCTAAAATTTTTGATAGGAACATCATCTACCCAGTTTTCAATCAATAACATCTTGCCACAGTACCAGTAGCGATTAGCAAAACAGCTTGGTGATGGTGATTTTGCAATGTACTAAAAAAAAGAGACTAACTGTTGCATTTTTAACAGTACTTTTTATTAGGGATCATCCTAGAAAGAAGACAATAAGTTCAACTAACAGTTTTAAACATCACTAGAAGCGGGGAATTGGTGTGGTAATAAAACTCTTTCAGCCTCTTTATAGAAGGTTTTCTGCAAGTATCACTATGATAAAGAGACACAAAGTGCATGCAGGGTTTGTGGTACAGAGATCCACCAACATATCTGACCAAACCAAAAAAAACAGGAAGGCATGTTTCTGTGAATCCTATCTTTATGGCTCTTTCTATAGGCAACCTCTGCATGTGAACTTGTAGAGAAGAAGGCAAAAAGAATGAACAACTGCTCAATCACTTTTTTTTTTCCTCAAGGGCCAGCCTTGCTATAGGGGTTACAATAGAGAGTAGTATATGTAGTAGTATAGCTGCTGGGATAGAAATTATAGATTTTTTTTTTTCAGTGCTAAAAAGCTGCAATATAACATCCATCCATCTTCTACCACCTGTCCATCAGTCTCACAGGTGCTGGGGTTAAGTTCCAGCAGTTTATGGGCGAAAGGTAAGGTCCACCCTGGATGGGTTGTTTTTGGTCAAGTTGTTGAACTGTTGATTAAGAATTTTGTTTTGGTAAAGGCATAGCCTTGTGAGACCATCCTGATCTCGGGAGCTTTCAAGATTTCACTCGCTAATCAGTCTGGAGACTCCTCGTTGAAGAAAATTTGGAGCCGTTCACCAAACGAACGTCCAATCAGCGTTGGTTTTGAGGCGGGTTGAGGTGTGACGCAACGAGAAGCGCGACAGTTCAGTCTAAAGAACATGGCGGCTTCAGCTGACGAAACTAGCGTTAGCGTGGCTATCGAGCAAGTTTTATCGGAATTACAGAGTATTTCTTCACTGAAAGAAGAGCAAAACACTGCTCTGGAGGCTTTTCTCAGAGGAAAATATGTGTTTGCTCTTCTCCCGACTGGTTTCGGCAAGAGTTAGCCTGGCTTGTGGTCGTCTTTTCGTCGTTGGTCTGTTAGTACGTCATATGCTTCGTTGATCTGATTGGTTTATTTGGCCCATCTATCACCAACATAGGCCAATCAGCTAACCAGTATTTCCGCCCCTTCCCAAAATTACTGCAACGGAAGGTTTCCAGATGTATATGCGGAGCAAATCCATCTGGCGGAGTCAGGTTAGTAAAGGCATCCCTCAAATGCAAACTTATAAGTAACCTCTTCTATGAGCAAGATACATTTTGACTTGTGAAGAGAGAGATAGAAAAAAAAATCTAAATGGCAATGAAGTAAAAATATTTATTTATTAGTTAATAGCAAATATAAAATATTCAATCAATTCATTTTGAATAGAAAAAAATATTTTATTGATTTGATACATGAGTCACATGTAACATTTTTACATTTACAAATAGAAATCTTGCCACTTTGTAATGTATTCAGTATGTGGTACTTTTGGTTTCTTGCTGCTGTCAATTGATCATATTTATAGACTCCTGATTGTGCAAAATCTTTAGATTTCAGCAAAAAATATAACCTTCTTTAGCAGTTGAGGTTATGCAGCATGACTGTCAATTTATTCACCTCCACCACTGCACCTGCCTTATCCTATTGGTGCATCTGTGGATGTGCCTGTAGTCACATCAGTGAAATTAGAGAAAGTACAGCCTTTTAACAATAGCTATTGTACAGATCCTAATTCTAACTTCATCTAGCAAAGATACACAACAGATTCCTAACAGAAACAGCTGATTCCGGTTGCTCTAAAGTTATTATGATGACAGTCTGCAAAGGAGCATATTGCAGGTTTCGCCACAGAGGTACAGGGGGAGAACCCCTGCATCCACATGGAGAACATACAGGTCCATCTCAAAATATTAGCATATTGTGATACAGTTTATTATTTTACATCAAGAGTCACTGTGCACAGGCGTGTGCAGGAAATGGGCTACAGGTGCCACATTCCCCAGGTCAAGCCACTTTTGAACCAGAAACAGCGGCAGAGGCGCCTGACCTGGGCTACAGAGAAGCAGCACTGGACTATTGCTCAGTTTTGCGTGTAATTCGGAAATCAAGGTGCCAGAGTCTGGAGGAAAACTGGGGAGAAGGAAATGCCAAAATGCCAGAAATCCAGTGTCAAGTACCCACAGTCAATGATGGTCTGGGGTGCCATACCAGCTGCTGGTGTTGGTCTACTGTGTTTTATCAAGGGCAGGGTCAATCAAGCTAGCTGTCAGGAGATTTTGGAACACTTCATGCTTCCATCTACTGAAAAGCTTTGTGGAGATGAAGATTTCATTATCCAGCACGACCTGACACCTGCTCACAGTGCCAAAACCACTGGTAAATGGTTTACTGACCACCGTATCACTGAGCTCAATTGGCCTGCCAACTGTCCTGACCTGAACCCCATAGAGAATCTGTGGGACATTGTGGAGAGAAAGTCGATAGACCCAATAGGGGTGTAAGTAATAATCGTTTTGTATCGACGCATGGATCCATCAGCCAACGATCTGATCCATCGACACATCCGCACAAGTATCCATTCATGTTTTTTTCTGCTCTGGTCTATTTTTATCCATTTGCTCCTGGACGTAATTCTGACTCCCGTGCTGCGGAGGCGCTAAACCTATTTTGCCCTCCTACCTCGCTTCCTTTATCCACTACTTTCTTTCCCCTTGCATTATTTTTTAATGCAAGGCCTTTCAGAATCTATAACAAAGAGGCATTATCTTTCAGTGAATGAGGTTTCTATATAGGCCTAGGTGGAGTACAACTTTACTACTTCTGTTATTTGCTGTTATTTCTCAAATAAAATGCATAACGATATTACAGCTTTCATTGATGTATTTCAAAATCGAAACATTGTCTAGCCTGTAAGCAGTGGCGGCTGGTGAAAAATATTTTTGGTGGGGCTGATACAGCCTGGTGTATGTCTCCAACTAATCCGGAATAAGAATTCAAATAAACAATTGGAAATGAAATACAATTTAACAGTAATGATTTAATTTACTATATAATAACAGTAACAGTGAATATTTGGGTCACTGTGACGGAGTTCTTTGGCCTCCAAGAATCGGAGTGTTGGTGATTTATTGTGCTCAAAAACTCAAAACAGGGTGCAAAAGAAACTAAACATGTACAAGGTACTCTGGGCTTTAGCCTCCCTCCAGTTACCAGCAATGTAACAAGGAAACAGAAAACAAAAATGGCCGCTCTTCTTCCCACAGCCCTCATTAAATAGTTTAAGCCCCTCACCTCAGACTCTCTTATTTCTGATTTCTTCTCATAAATCAGTTTTGTCCATATATTACCTCCACAAACAATTGATATACAAAAACAAATAATTTTTACAACTTAATTCTTTTACACAGATTCACTGACTTATTCAATTACACCAAACTTTTAAACATAAAATAAAAAAAATATATAATCTGACAAATATTTAGCGAGTTGGTGACGTCACTTCCGCATTCCAACAACTGTGGCGTTTTAACCGCTTACTGAGCGTTGCCTCGGGTTTGAACCCAGCAAAGACGCCGCCAGACTGAAGATGACAAGTCCCCGTAGCATAAATACGTACACACACACACACCCACACACTAGAGACTGACACAGGAGTGGATTTTCACTCCTGTCCCATCCCACTCCCACAGAAAAAAATTGTGTCCCGTCCCGATCCCGGGCCAGAGTAGAAATCTAAATCCTGTCCCGTCCCACTCCTGGTGAAATTACTCCCACTCCCATCCCGCTCCCATTCAGAATGACTCCTGCTCCTCCACCACTCCCATTCTTGTTGTCTTCAATAAGATTGCCAATACACTGAATCTGAATTTCTATGAAGGGTCAGTTGAGTTCCTGTTTCTAACTGTAGTAACTGTTGTTCCCTCCATTGTTGTTTTTGAGCGCGGGTGAAAAACTCAAAGCAGAAGCACTGTTGGTTTTTGGGTCAAGTTTTTTTGACCCGCATTATAGTGTAGGCTTCAAGGAAAAAAACAACAAAATGGCGGCGCCAGTACTGGATTTTTTTTCTTTTAATTTATTTTTTGGCATCGATCCTAGTTTTTTTTTAGTTACTATTGGTTTGCTCCTGCTTCCGTCTGCTCCCATTAATGTTTAATCCTGTACCGTCCCAATCACGTAATCGTTACTAATACTGACTCCCATCCCACGGGAATCCCGTGACCCGTGGGATTCCCGAAAAAATGTCAGTCTCTAACACACACACACACACACACACACACGGCTAACCCCACTGAAATATTAAGTGTGCACCCTCAATACGCCAGCAGGTAACCAGGAACAGCTTGTGTGTTTTAAGTTAATGGGCCGCTACTGTAGGGCTCAGCACGAGTGTATTGGTCCTCACAAGCACAGTATAACAGGAATGTGTGTGTGGCACGCAAAGTTAGAGAGGTTATTTTAAGTGACGAGGTGGATTCGTCATAGTCACAATAACCATAACAGGAAATTTTCCTACCCTACAACAGGGATGTTCTTCTGGCAAATGGGTAGATAAATTAGGATCTCACCGAATTTGGTGGAAGCAGAATCTCGCTCGTTACGTTCGCCATTGTCCCTCTAATTGTCTGCACCTGCACATTGGGTGCAGAAGCCTGTTAAAGGGCAGTATTTTCAGAGCCCCAAGACCATAAAATTCTGAGACGCTGATTGGCCATTAAATTATTAAATTCACCTAGCAATAGTACATCATTGGCAGATTCTATGCACTCGTGGGGCAGTCTAATCAGAGCCCCAAGACAGAGACGGTAGGAGTCTGTCTGTGGAAATCCACAAATGAATGACAGTAGATAGGGAAATGTAGTCAATATAATTTGTTTTGCTTATAGGTACACACTCTAGAGAGTAAAACTAACATTTATGAGTTAACTTCTAAAAATATATTTTACGTTTCTCTCTTCTTATCAGGGAGGGCGGTGCCCCAGCGCCCCCTATGGGCCGGCCACCACTGCCTGTAAGGTAAAAAAAAAAAAAATTACCAATTAATCGAATCGCATCGTGGAGTATTCTTTAGTATCGAAAATAATTGTTGGGTCAGGAAATTGATACTGAATCGAATCGCCATGATGGGTGTGATTTACACTCCTAAGACAACAACACTCTGGATGAGCTTAAGGCCGCTATCGAAGCATCCTGGCCCTCCGTAGCACCTTAGCAGTGCCACAGGCTGATTGCCTCCATGCCACGCTGCATTGAAGCAGTCATTTCTGTGAAAGGATTCCCGACCAAGTATTGAGTGCATAACTGTACATAATTATTTGAAGGTTGACTGTTTTGTATTAAAAACACTTTTCTTTTATTGGTCGGATGAAATATGATAATTTTGTGAGATTTGGGGTTTTCCTGAAATGTATGCCAACATCATCCAGATTAAGACAATAAAAGACCTGAAATATTTCAATTAGTGTGCAATGAATCTAAAATATATGAATGTGTTGTGCCCACAGAGCTGTTTTGGTTTGGATATTTTGTTTTTGTTCTCTCACCTTCACTTTCAGGGTGTGCCAGACGGCAGTATTTAGAGGAGTGTATTCCCTGAGGCAGATGATAGATGGTTACCTATACTAGTGGTAACTAGGTTCCTTGTCAAAAGACTTCCAAGTTAGTTGAACTTGTTTTCATCCTCTTACTTATCAGTCATGTCTTTCTAATTCCCTTTTAGTTTACCTCCTGCTGAAGCCTGGTTCCTGGTTAATCCTGCCTTGCTGTCCTCCTGGTCCTCCCTCAACGGCGCTTTCCACTCCTCCCCAAAAAGGCTTCCTTCCAAGATCCTCTAAAGCCGAGCTCATCTGCATGTCCACCCTCCAATTCAAATTAAACAACAGGATCACTCCAAGGATTTCACTCCTTCTCTGTGGATACTGTTGCCCCACCTTCTCAGCATGTTTCCTGTGAAGTAAGTCTGCCCTCACTGTTCATTTCATCATCAGTTGAAACTCATACTCATCACCTTACCTGTTTTGAAGTGAGACACCGCATTGGATTTCCTGCTTACGCTGCTTCCAGTCTGAATAATAAAAACCCTTCAAGTAAACTCTGTTCTCCTGTCGTATGTATTGTTGCTGCACCAGAGTCTTGATCCGAAATGATGTCAGAATGTTCAAGTTTTATCATTACATTTTGGAAAATAATGAACTTTACCTCAATATGCTAATATTTTGAGAAGGACCTGTAAATGCTCCACTCAAACAGATCCTAGGCTCAAACCAGGACCTTCTTGCTGTAAGGCAGCAGTGCTACCAATGCCAGGTGGCATCAATTCAATAGAGCCTGAATAACCTGTAATGCTTTGTGGCAAAACGACAGCTCAGAGGGATTAAAAAACAACTGATTTTGATTAAATAAACCGATCTACAGTAAATCTAAGATCCTCATTTCAGAACATCAAGGAGAACAAAACTTCCCTTTCATGACAAATGCAACCAGAGACATAGCATATATAAGAAACAATCAACTGATCTGTTCATGATATTTATGCTTCAGGGCACACCCCCCTCACACACGTATTTAAAAATACAAAAGTCATTTATTAGCAATTCATCATTCACTTATTTATTCATGCATGTATGCGTTTATAAGTGTATTTATTTATTGTTATATTTATTTTTTTATGGACAATTATGCGTATTTATTAATTTATATTTGTATTTATTTATTTTCATATCAATTTTTTTGTTTTATCATTTTTCGTCCCTCATAGAGCAAATGCATAATACAAAAGAAAAAAGACTTTGTTACTCTGCAGCTTTCCAGGTTATCAGCCACTCTTTGTTAATAGTGGAATAGACCGTTTTCCTTAAAAAGCTTTCTGAATTCATCAAGACATAGATTTGACGAAATGTTGTAAACATGACATTTTGATTTATACTGACATCATGGGCATTCTTCTATAGACGGATAAAATAATATAAGGCTTTGTTCTTCTGTCAGGAACAACGGTTCATTATTACCTTGCAGAGCTAGTCGTATTCTCCTCACCGACCAACTCCATCTGCCACATCTGTTTCTCCTCATTCACCTACTGCTTAAGGTAATTCTAAAACTTGTCTCAATGAAAGTTTGTTTAACTAAACTTGGTGAACATTGGCTCTATTTTGAGAGCCCCCCTGTGGAGGAAGATAATTTCAGCCACTTTCATCCAGGATTTCCTTCTTTTGGTCATAGTCCAAATTTCTTGACCACAGCAGAGAGCAGGAACATAGATCGACCGGAGAATGGAGAGCTTTGCCTTTTCCTCTGCTCCCTCTTCAGCTTCCACATTATAATATCAGCCTCACAGAATCCTCTATCTATCCTGCTCCATTCACTTTATGGCAAGATGTTCAAACTCCACCACTCTCTTCCAACCTGAAGAAGACAAGCCACCTTTTTCCCATTGAGAACAGGATCCTAATACTTGGAAAAGCTGATTCTCATCCTGGGAGCCTTGTACTCTGCCTCAAATCACCACAGTGCATAATGTAAGTCTTGGCAGAAGGAAGACAGCAGAACCACATCCTCTTTGAAAAGCAGGAATGAAGACCACTGGTCCTCAAAACAGACCACCTCCAGGCCTTGTCTGTCCCTAGAAAACCTGTCCTTAAACATAATGAGCAGGACCAGTAACAGAGGGCAGCCTTGCTGGAGATACTGGGAACAGCTCTGACTTAAAGCTGGCAATGAGGACCAAACTCTTGCTTTGCTTACACATAGACGGGTACCTTCCTAATAAAGGACCCAGACTCTATGCTTCTGATGTGCAGAAATTATTGACATGCATTTTATTTGTGTTTAAAAAAAAAGAAAAACAATGATAATTTAGATATTCTTTCCTCTCAGAAGGAATACAGTCAAATCAGTAAGATTATGATGCATCCATAAAAGATATGCATATCTAAATTAAATTTTTTTGTCTATTAATGTGTGTACCAACAAGTGTCAGTTCATTAGTCGATCATAAAAAAAGACTACTTCAGAAAAAATAATGTTGATAAAATTTGAGGAATTGGATTTATTTTTAAAGAAATATATATATATATATATATATATATATATATATATATATATATATATATATATATATGTATATATATATATTTATATATATATATATATATATATATATATATATATATATATATATATATATATATATATATATTTTTTTTTTTTTTTTTTTTTTTTTTTTTTTTTTTTCCAGAAGAGATGAGATTATTCACAAAAATGAATTTAACATTTGAGAGTCAGAGTTTAAAAATCACCAATGTTGGGTTTGTTTTTCCTTTATTTTAGCTTGGTTGTATAATTTGGGGCAATGAAAAAAAAAATACCTGATTTTCATTTTTGACTGCTGAGTCACCATGCTCATGTCTAATAATAATCTCAATATATTTTGTCATTACTGCAAGTCTGTTGTTGCTGCTGATAATCATGTACACAGGAAATGGATGCCAAACTCCTTGTTGAACATAAAGTACTTCTTTTGGTTTGTTGTATTATATGACTTGATCATCAAAAGAGAGGGCTTACAGTGACAAAAATGAACAAATGCAAAAATAAAAAATGTAAACATTTCAATAGCATTTATATGATAAAAAATCATTCAGATGTTGTAAAATTGTCTGATTAGATAGTTGATTGACATGTAGCTCAGAAGCTGTTTCAGTTGTGATTTATTATAGAATTAATCCAAGCAATGCTATCAGGTATCTTTGTGTACTTATACAGTGTTGAACCCTCAGTCTTTTTGCTTGCAGCCACCACTCCATATGCCTTTCCATCCTTGCAGACTAATGGATCTCCAGAATCTCCCTATAATCAAAGACACAGAATATTGAGACTGTGTTGGGAAAACAAGCACATTTTTTTTCTCTACAAAGAAAGAAATATCTACCCCCATTGGTCCGATTTCTCCTTCAGAACAGTATACATTTTCTTTGACACACAGTTCATTATCAATAAGTGTGACACTGGCCTCCATGAGTGTTTCCGACATGTTAGAGTTCTCAGAAGTTTTCCCCCAACCACTGACTGTGCAGGAATTCGGCAGAGAGCTATCTTCCTTGTCCGCCAGAGCAATAGGTTCTACATTTTTGGTAATCTCTGCCTTTTCGGACAACTAGACAAAAGATTGAGATGGTATTGAACAACAAAAGTACCATATACTTTCATACATTTATTGCATGTTAAAACATAATGAGTAATGCTAATGACAGATAAGAAAAAAAACACAACCATGCTATTTGGTATAATGATTATAATGGATAAAGTAATTAGATAATTTTACCTTGAGCAGCATTATGTCATTTGTAAAATCAGTTTTATCGTAGTTCTCATGTAGAAAAGCTTCCTTCACAGACACTTTTTTATGGTTCTCTGAGTATTTGTGTAACCCAAGAAAAACTTTATGGGACCTAAAAAAAAAAGAAAGTGTTTAATGTTTTTCTTTCTTCATCTGTCTGCAGTCATGGAGCAGGCTTCATCCAAGTGAACTACATAATCATGTCAAACTGACTTGGCCTGGCAGTGGGCTGCGGTCATCACAAAATCATCACGGATAAGGAATCCCCCACAGTATTTTATTTCATTATTCTCCTTAATCAGCTCAACAAGCACCATATACGGCCTGCTGTGTGGTTTGGCCTCATGACCGCCTATGATTTTGCCTGCATAAGCTGCAACATTATGGGGGTAAAACACAAAGTTAATTTCATGACAAGTAGTTATTTGTTAACATGTCAAAATAACAAATGTTTATCTTTTTTACTAAAACAGATCAATATTATAACAAAACTCACAAAGACTAATCATGTACAGTAACACTTTGATCCATCTTAAATGTACATACTATAATAGAAACTCACCTTGTCTTTGTAAAGTCATTGCAAGCATCAGTAAAGCCAGTGAACAGTGGTTGAACATGGTGAGATCACAATCCAGTCAAGCTGCTGAGGAGTGACAACATCTCTGAAAACATCCTTTTTATACGCTGGCAGGCTGCATAGGCTGATGATGCAGATTTGGACTGTAACCTTTGGCAAACCACACATTTTACTTTTTTTTCATACAGCACAGACAGATTCAAACAGAGTCAAACTTTATAACATTATTATATTTTGGGTTACTTCTAACAAAGATTTAACACATGAAGGTTTTTTATCACACATAATGTCTCTGAAGTATGTATTTAAAGAACACATCTAAGATAATAGAAGTTTTTCTATTTTGCAAGAAGGTCTCCCCAAAGAAAAACAATCAAAATATTCTCTTATCCGTCCTGTTTTGGTTTGTTAAGGACCAAAATGCAGAAATTAGTTGAGGTAAAACCAGAGTTGTTTATGAAAGAAAACAGAAGAGTATAAACAGAAGTTGCAGATCAAGAATATGACATAGATGCATGGAAATAGACTATTAGGAATTGAGAATGGAGCAGTTTAGCAGCTGATAACCATTCAGCTACAGAGGAAAGAGTGTAGAAATGACAAACAAATACGAAGAGCAATCATTTTGGATGTGCAGCAACAGAGAAATGGGAGAGCAGAAGGAAAATGACTGACCACTACAAAATACACTATGATCCAAGGGCAAAGAGAACAAAGATGTGAAATAAAGAAGGTAAAAGAAGAAAAATAACTGAATATTTACTGCAAAATCATACAGTAGATGAACATAGAAGGACCTATATAAAGATATAAAATAATAATAGAGCAGCAGTTTATCTACAGCAGAGTTGGGTTGTTAGATGAGCTTAGAGAAGCCAGCAGTGTACTATAGCTTCTAAACACAGTGCAGGTGGTAAGAGAGACCATTAAGAGAGTTTTATGAAATTTGGACAATGTCTCACACCTATGCATGAAACAGTTCAAAACTAAAGTGACAGACTGCTGCAATCTTTATGCACAATTGACTGTTATAGCCGATGGTTCCTCTAAGTGGCTGTTAGACCCACCAAACTCATGGAGTATGAATACATATTTATTTATTTTTTTGTAATTTATTTAAATCTACATACTTATTTGCTTTTTTAAATGAGTATGCTAATTTTGAAAAAATGTAAAAAGTATGTTGTCTTTTGTTATAAATTTCACCTTTTTTTACAGGCTGTTATCATTTCTTGTTTATTAAATTATATTTATCGATATCCGCATGGTACTTACCTGTCGCTTTGCTGTTTGCACACCAGCTTCCCCCAGTGTGAGACAGTGAAGGGTATTTTTTTCTTTTTTTTATGTAACAATATGTAAGTAAGTAAGTAAAGTAAAAACTAAAAAAGAATCAAAGTTGAGTTTAATGAAAATAGTCATGGTATTTAAAGCACAGCAATGACCTTAAAAAATAAGCTGGAAACGAACTCCTGTCAAACTGTAAAGTGTATGTAATATGCAACGATTTCTTGATTTGTGGCTGGGAGAGAATTGGATCATAAAGTTAGGACAGACAGATGAAGAGAAATAAGTCCTTAATTAACTAAACAAAGGGGACTACGTTTAATAGTTTTTTTTGGTACAGTATAACTCTGAAAACAAGAATGAAGAGAGCACAGATAAATCTGTGGAAGCCATCAAAATTAAATAATTGCAGCAATAATTTTCCCAGGTAATATCTGGAAACTTTCATCCAGATATTTTCTTTCACAGCAGACAAAGTTATCTGAACCCACTTTTAACGGTTGTCGTGCAACAAGAGAGCGAGATGGAAGAGATATCTGCCACAAAGAAACTGCCAGCCCAAAGTTTTTGACAGGAACATCAACTACCAAGTTTTCAATCAACAAAATCTTGCCACAGTACAGGTAGTGATTAACAAAACAGCTTAGCGACGGTAATTTTGCAATGTACTATAAGATACACTATATTGCCAAAAGTATTTGCTCACCTGCCTTGACTCACATATGAGCTTAAGTGACATCCCGTTCCTAATCCATAGGGTTCAATATGACGTCGGTCCACCCTTTGCAGCTAGAACAGCTTCAACTCTTCTGGGAAGGCTGTCCACAAGGTTTAGGAGTGTGTTTATGGGAATTTTTGACCATTCTTCCAGAAGCGCATTTGTGAGGTCGCACACTGATGTTGGACGAGAAGGCCTGGCTCTCAGTCTCCGCTCTAATTCATCCCAAAGGTGTTCTATCGGGTTGAGGTCAGGACTCTGTGCAGGCCAGTCAAGTTCATCCACACCAGACTGTGTCATCCATGTCTTTATGGACCTTGCTTTGTGCACTGGTGCACAGTCATGTTGGAAGAGGAAGGGGCCAGCTCCAAACTGTTCCCACAAAGTTGGGAGCATGGAATTGTCCAAAATGTCTTGGTATGCTGAAGCATTCAGAGTTCCTTTCACTGGAACTAAGGGGCCAAGCCCAGCTCCTGAAAAACAACCCCACACCATAATCCCCCCTCCACCAAACTTTACACTTGGCACAATGCAGTCAGACAAGTACCGTTCTCCTGGCAACCGCCAAACCCAGACCCGTCCATCAGATTGCCAGATGGAGAAGCGCGATTCGTCACTCCAGAGAACGCGTCTCCACTGCTCTAGAGTCCAGTGGCGGCGTGCTTTACACCACCGCATCCGACGCTTTGCATTGCACTTGGTGATGTATGGCTTGGATGCAGCTGCTCGACCATGGAAACCCATTCCATGAAGCTCTCTGCGCACTGTTCTTGAGCTAATCTGAAGGCCACATGAAGTTTGGAGGTCTGTAGTGATTGACTCTGCAGAAAGTTGGCGACCTCTTCGCACTATGCGCTTCAGCATCCGCTGACCCCGCTCCGTCAGTTTACGTGGCCTACCACTTCGTGGCTGAGTTGCTGTCGTTCCCAAACACTTCCATTTTCTTATAATACAGCTGACAGTTGACTGTGGAATATTTAGGAGCGAGGAAATTTCACGACTGGATTTGTTGCACAGGTGGCATCCTATCACAGTTCTACGCTGGAATTCACTGAGCTCCTGAGAGCGACCCATTCTTTCACAAATGTTTGTAAAAACAGTCTGCATGCCTAGGTGCTTGAATTTATACACCTGTGGCCATGGAAGTGATTGGAACACCTGATTCCAATAATTTGGATGGGTGAGCAAATACTTTTGGCAATATAGTGTATGAGACTAACTGTTGAATTTTTAATAGTGCTTTTTATTAGGGATCATCCTTGGAAGAAGAAAATGAGTTCAACTAACTGTTTTAAACCTCACTAAAAGCAGGGTATTGGTGTGGTAAGAAAGTCTTTCAGCCTCTTTATCAAAGGTTTTCTGCAAGTATCACTATGATAAAGAGACACAGAGTGCATGCAGGGTTTGTGGTACAGAGATCCACCAACATATCTGACTAAACAAACAGAAAGGAAAAAAACAGGAAGGCATGTTTCTGAGAATCCTATCTTTAGTGCTCTTTCTACAGGCAACTTCTGCATGTGAACTTGTAGATAAGAAGGTAAAAAGAATGAACAACTGCTCAATTACTTATTGTTTTTCCTATAGAGCAAGCCTTGTTATAGGGGTTACAAGAGATAGTAGTATAGCTGCTTGTATAGAAATTATAGATGTTTTTTCAGTTCTAAAAAGCTGCAATAAAACATCCATCCATCTTCTACCACCTGTCCATCAGTCTCACGGGGGCTGGGGTTTAGTTCCAGCAGTTTATGGGTCCACCCTGGATGGGTCATTTTGGGACATGTTTTTGAACTTTTGATTAAGACTTTAGTTTTAGTAAAGGTCTCCCTCAAAATGCAAACTTATAAGTAACCTCTTCTATGAGCAAGAATCATTTTGACTTGAAAAGAGAGAGATAGAAAACAAATCATAATGGCCATGAAGTAAAAATATGTATCTATTAGTTAATAGCAAAAAAAAAAAAATCAATTATTCATTTTGTATAGAAATAATACTTTATTGATTTGATACATGAGTCACATGTAACACTTTCACATTTACAAATAGAAATCTTGCCACTTTGTAATGTACTCAGTATGTGGTACTTTTGGTTTCCTGCTGCTGTCAATTGATCATATTTATAGACTCCTGATTGTGCAAAATGTTTAAATTTGAGCACAAAATATAAGCTTCTTTAGCAGCCGAGGTTATGCAGCATGACTGTCAATTTATTCACCTCCACTGCTGCACCTGCCTTATCCTATTGGTGCATCTGTGGATGTGCCTGTAGTCACATCAGTCAAATTAGAAAAGGTGCAGCCTTTTAACAATAGCTATTGTACAGACCCTAATTCTGACTTAATCTAGCAAAGATGCAGAACAGATTCCTAACAGAAACAGCTGATTCTGTTTGCTCTAAAGTTATAATGATGAAAGACTGCAAAGGCTGCACAGGGAGCAGATTGCAGGTTTTGCCACAGAAGTACCGGGGGAGAACCCATGCATGCACAGGGAAAACCCAAATACTCCACTCAGACAGATCCTAGGCTCAAACCAGGATCTTCTTGCTGTAAGGCAGCAGTGCTACCATTTGTGTCCCACAGGATCTTGGCTTTGTCATTCTCTAACGCCTTTGGAGGTGTTTCCTACTTTGACCTTGGGGTTTCCAGCCCATACTCTGCACAGATCTTCCTGTACACTGTTCCAGCCACTTGGTTACGGCACTCCATGTAAGCTTTCCCTGCCAGCATCTTACACCCTGCAGTTATTTGTTGGATTGTCTCAGGGTCTCCTTTGCAAAGTCGGCCCCTCGGGTCTTGTCTGGGCCTCTATTACTCTGGTGCTTAGGGCCTGCTCTTGTGCAGCCATGATGAGTGCCTCTGTGCTGTCGGCCAGTCATTGGTAGGATATTCATAATATATACCACTTCAATTATGTTTCGGTGGTACATTCCGTGTAGCGGCTTTTTCTGTTCTCCATTGTCTGAGACATTCACTGAGGGTGTCATCTGCTGGAGCCTTGCCCTTGATGAACTTATAGATCTTGGATGTTTATTCCTGGATAGTGGCTCTTACACTCATTAGTCCTTGGCCTCCTTCCTTACGGCTGGCTTACAGTCATAGGGTGCTGGATTTGGAATGGTA